CTGCACTAGCAACTTCCCCCGGCAATGTCACGGGAATTGATACCCTTTCGCCAGAGCCTGCGCGACCACGGTCTGCACCTCCCTGCGACCGGAACATGCATTCCGCTGCTACACCAACGACCGCATTTGTTCTTCCGCTATCACCGTTTTCTCTCTCGCCTCTCGAATTCCATAAGCAACATTTCAACAAGCTGAATCATGTGGCCGATGATCGTGCTCATGATTGCTGGGTGTGGTTCTTCCCTACGCACTTTCAGGCATTGCCTCCTCCCCCATTGCGCCCTGACATATCTCAAATTCCCTTGCTTCGCGCCCGTCCCCCGCAGGCCGTTGCCCCTCGTGTGGCCTGTCGCATCTGCTTCGAACATAACCGCTGGACATCCTACCAGAACGGCAACTCCGGTGGTATTGTCACCAACCTCCGTCGACACCTTCATAACCACCACGATCAAGAATATAAAGGATACCTGCATACAATGGCATCAGAGCGGGAGAAGCGGGAAGGCAAGCGTCGCGCTGACGTGCCTGAGTTCACGCTGGAAGGGTTTTATGAATATCTGATGGAGTTTGTTGTTGCCCACGATGAGGTACAGTTTGCAATCACTACTGGAACTTAAACTAACTTTATTGACGGCCGTATCGTCAAATCAGTCTATGGACATTGTCGACTCGCCGGAGTTCATCAAGCTTATGGTGTACGTAGGCCAAGGAGTGGGGTTCACCGAGGACTCAATGCCAGGCGACAAGAAGCTACTCGAGATTATCCTTCTCGCATATAAAAAAGAGTACGATGATCTGATCTCCGACATGAAGGTACATCTTATTCTAATCCTACGAATGTATGACTGATATCCCCTTTGCATACAGAATGCTTATGGGCGCATCTCATTTACTTCAGATTTATGGACTGATCTCAATCTGCGGTCTTTCATGGCGGTGACTGCACACTGGATAACACGGAATCAAAACGGGCGATTAGAATTATGTTCTGGGTTGATTGCATTTCGCTATATTGAAGGCAAACACACCGGCGAGTGTCTTGCCAAGGTCATGTTCGATATTCTTCGAGAAATGGAGATCATAGACAAGGTTCGTGTAGTTGTAATATCTCATTGACGGCTCATGCAGACGACAATTATAGATAGGCCAGATCACGCTGGATAATGCATCCACCTGCTACGCGATGATGGAGCATCTAGAGGCGCTGATCCGAGAACATGACGCAAATATTCCTTTTAATCACGACGCAAACCGAGTCCGGTAAGCTCCTCAAATTTGCAGATGTTCTGTTCACTAATCGTGTTATCCAGGTGTTTCCCACACGTGATCAACCTTGCCGTCCATGCTGTTCTCAATTCTCTTAGCGTCACAGGCAAAAACAGCTTTCAAGCAAGTCTCTCCGCACTCGACGAGCATGTCATGTCCCTCAACGTCGAGCCTACATCTGACATCCATAAGGAGTGGTGCGCATATCGTGATGCAGTTGCAGGTGATGTTCTCGCACGCTCGCGACGCCTGGTTTCGGCATTTCGTGTCAGCGGTGGCCGGCGTCTTGGGTTGCACAGAACGATTTTAGAAGGAAATAGCACCCGGTCTTGGCCGCAGACATCTCTCGAAGTTTTCGACATGCAGGTACCAAACAATTTACTGACGGGTGGGACATTGCCAGTTGTCCAGCTTCTTCGAGACTGTGACACTCGCTGGTCGTCGGTCTATATGATGATAACGCGGATACTTACTCTGTGGCCGGTGTGTTTATAGTTTTTAGTTCCAACATTTGTACTGAGCTCTCGGGCATTCTGTAGGCTCTACAAGCATATGCCGCATCTGCATCTACGTCGACTGCAACGTCTTTAGACAGTGTTCTGCTGTCTCCTCATGAACGCAAGGTTCTCCGTGACCTCTACTACATTTTGCGTTTACCTCATCGCACTCAAGAGCTACTATCATCTGAGAACACGCCAACTGCATCATACACGCTGATTGTATATGAAATTCTGATACATGGCTGGCAGAATTTGAAGACAAACCTTCCCCATCTGCACGTATCTATTGATGCTGGCATCAACAAACTTAGAGAATACATTCAATACGCCCGGTCCACACCGGTTTATGGCCTTTCAATGAGTGAGTGTTTGAACTCTCGTCATAGATAATCTTCCTCATATCTATCCTTACAGTTGTGAATCCTATGATGAAATTTGATTGGATAAAAACCTATTGGACGGCAGAAGAGAAGAATCAAGCACGTGACTCAATAACCAATGCCGTACGTATACTTTGCAGTCGCTCTCGTTGTATACTTATGCAAGGTACTTTGCTCTCTGGGACAGATGCTACGGTTCCGTAACCAAGAAATGTCCCAACACAATGTCTCTCGATTTTCCAGCAATATTCAAGCATCGGCGGCGGAGTCGATTCAAAATGGACTGGACGCACTCCTTGCTCTCGGAAGCAACCCAGTTGGGCTGCTTCCACCTTTGAATTCAGCGCAAACTTCAACTGACATGAGTGGAAACCAATGCGAGCTGGAAAGCAAAGCAGCCCGTCGTCTTCATGTCGAACGAGAACTGCAGCGTTACGAAGAAGATGGTCTGGTGAAGGACGTTGACATGCTTACATTTTGGACGGTATGTATTCTTGCTTCATATAATTTGTTGCTGAATATTCTTTGTAGGACCATGAAAAGATATATCCTCTACTCTTCCGTGTTGCTATGGACATGTTACCAACACAAGCATCAGCGGTCCCGTGCGAACAAGTCTTTTCTTCAAGCAAGGAGACCGTGGTTTCACGTCGAAGCCGCCTCATTCCAGCGACAGTCGAAGTCTTACAAATTCTCAAATATCGCTTACGCCATGAGCGATTAAACTTCAGTGACAGGCTTGCACGCGAAGACGACTACATGATAGAGGGACCAGTGACAGATTATGCTGTCGAAGAGCTTGTAAAAGCCAATCGACTTCCAGAGCTCACAGAACTCCTTCGAAATTCTATAGATCCTGCATCTCTTGATTTCAACAGATATACTACTACATCATTGTCCTTACATCCATAATGGAATATGTAGATATGGTCTTCACGGGTCAATTTCGAGACTGCGTCGTTCTCTCAGCATACGTCATCGGAATTCCCTTATATGGATGACAGCCACTCGACGACTCGCTCCGAGTCAACTCAGCCGGACTCGAGTTCCATCGAGTTCCATCGAGTTCGACTCGATGGCGACTCGACCCACTCGAGCAAAACACTACGCTGAGGACAGCCCCTTTGGCGAGACCGCACAACCCAAATACGGCACAACAACGCCAGAATCGCGTCACGTGCCGGTGCGCGCTGCTCACGCCCTCCGTCGCGTGTGTCGTCTGCATGGCTTGGCAAGAAGAACGTGCGGTAGATTAATTACTTGCGGAATTAGGTAGTGCTACTCTGGAACATGATCCATTTGCTCCCCTCGCGATCCACCTTCCAAACTTCCGGCACGCCATTCCACCATTCTTTTGCCTGCGCTTCCCGCTTGCCTTCCGTCTTTAGTACCTGCACGCTCAAAACACTCCCTTCGGCACAGCACACTGATATTGTGTGATCCTTGTAAGTAGCCATTCCGGGAGCAGCACCTTCCGCGAAGGCATTCGTGTCGGAATTAGCAGAAGGCGTAAGGAGCTGGACTGCACGGCTGGCGCCGTCTGCTGTGGTGCGCAGCATTGCCGTAAGTGGTTTGTGGTGTGCAATTGCACGATGGCGCCGGACGATCGTCTCAGCAGTCATACGGGTAAAATCAACCAATGCATCGGCAGGGGTGATAGCCCGAGCATGAGCTCGGAGATCGGATGCGGGAAACGATGGTTGTGGAGTACACGAGACCTGGAAAACGTTCCGTGAGGAACATATCCTTAGGCTAAAAGAAAGGCGCTTACATTGCCTGCCAGCATTCGCCGAAGTGTATCTGCGAGGAGATCTCCCCCCTTTCGTGCAAGATTGTCGCGTAGTGCAGGGAAATTGGCATTTTCCGGAATCGCCTGTAGTATCCTCACTAAGGATGGATCGGCTCGAGTCGTGCGAAATGCACGTACCACTTCCTCGCGCGCCCAGAGTTCGCCTGCGTCAATGCCGCCGGTTGCGTCTTTCGAGCGGCTAAATGGCAGCATCTCAATGACGCAAACACCAGTCCGCGTATCCCCGTTGAGGAGCGCATGCTGAATTGGTGCGGGTCCGCGGTAGGATGGGAGAAGTGACGGGTGTACATTCAGTCGGCGACCAGGTGCAAACTGCGAAAGTAAGGAGGATGAGAGGATGCGGCCAAATGAAGCGGTAACCAAGAGGTGGTTTTGTGGCGGAGGACTGGAGTTGAGGTTGAAGGGTATTGGAGGCTGGGAGATGACTATGAGACAGAGATCGTATACAACAAAGGTGACGTACTTTCCACTGTCGGAACAACGGTCGCTCAGAAGGTATAGTATGTACCGGGACACCTATACTCTCTCCAAGAGATTTCAGGGGCGCTGTGCGTGACGAAGTCAAATGTCGTAGGTCATAAGAGGAAACTAGGGCGGACGTACATACTGAGAGCTGTGAGCCACGCCTCCCGACGCGCTCATCCGGGTGAGTAGCGATACAGATACTCTGCCACACATCTTCCCATGTACGTCAAGTACAGGCCTATCAGACATTTGTGTTTCTGACCCTGGTGAGATGCGCGTGGACAGACCTTGGGCAGCATGCAGTCTCTCGAAGACGGCGCATGAGAACTCGTCGCGTCCAAAAAACAGAATTTTGAATGGTTCGCCTGGTGCCTGGCTATTGATACGTCGAATATGGCCATTATGCCTTGGTATTAGCGTTTGCCATCGCAGCGAGGGTCTGGAGAGGATGCGCATGAAGGGTGGCAAGTCGCGTCACGGCATTTGCCGACGCGTCGACATTCGTCCGCATTCGGTTCTCCTTGCAAGGACGTACTTACGGTGCGCGTTCGCTGCTCGTTTCTTCACGAAAAAGAGAGCTGGACATGTCCGGAATTGAACCGGACACCTTTCGCAGTCACGTGATCTCAGGATTCATGCGAAGCGAATGTGATAACCAACTACACCACATGCCCTTGTCCTTGTGGTTGCTCGACTTTTTTTTCTGGCCGTGGGGAAGTACATTACGCGGTACTACATATGCGGTCCATCCGACGGGCGACGGAATACACGCTCGCGGTGCGCTCGGCGGGTCATCGAAATTCACTTCACCATAAGCAAACGTGATAACCAACTACACCTTGTTTTTGTGGTCCTTTGATTTTTGTTTTCTGGCGGATTAATGAGCGTGCCGGACTTTGCCGCGGAGCTCAATATCGTGCCTGGGACCTCTTTCACTGGCTCTCCACGCACAACCAGTACGCAATCCACTACCAGCTTGTGCACATTGCCCTTGTCGCAAGACTGTCGTCATGGCATACGAATACAGTCATATGGACGAGGTCCTGCCCAATCTCTGGGTTGGTGACCTGGTGAGCGCACAAGATGCGGAGACCTTGCAGGAGAAGAATATACACAGCGTTCTCACTGCCATGCGGGGTCGAGTGTCTATTCAAGAGGTCTGTCGATACTTTCTGTGCTAGTTTGCCTAGCGACTGAGATCAGGCAGACTTTCCTGAAATTCCAAATAAACCTCGACGACACCGAGGACGCAGATATTCTGCAACATCTGCTTCCATCGATCGCGTTCATCCAGGCTGAATTGGATAAGAACAGAGGCGTACTCGTGCATTGTCAGGCAGGCATGAGTACGTGAGGAGGACATTGTCGGTGCAACTGGGATGCTAACCTCGTTGCAGGTCGAAGCGCGACCATTGTCGCAGCATACCTCATGTACTCGCAGCATCTCGACGTCGACGGTGCTCTTGAAGCTATTCGGAAAGTCCGGCCGTCTGCACAGTACGTCCCCGTCATGCATGCATACTTCTCACATACTAATAATTGCAGTTAGCCCAAACGATGGCTTCATGCGCCAGCTAGAAATCTTTCACCAGGCTGCGTTCAAGGTCTCGAGACGTGACAAAGCCACTCGCATGTTCTATTTAGAGCGTGCGGTGGACGAGATACTTAGTAAGTTCGATTATGCCTCGTCGAAATCAGAGTACAACTAAGTTTTGTTTGCAGATGGAGACGGGTCGGCCCCCGAAACCGATATGTTTGCGAGGTTCCCTCGCACACCATCGGACTCTGCTCCTCCAACTCCGGGTGGCCCACGTCGGCGTATCCGCTGTAAACACTGTCGGTCAGTATCATCACGCAAATCACCTTTGCAAATCTCACACGTGCCTTCATAGAACTGAGCTTGCGTCACGCGAGCATATGCTCGACCACGGACAACTCGGCCCCCCAACGCCTGCCGTCGCATTCTCTCCCATCACGTCACGGCGGCCTTCTATCAACGACCCTCGACACATTTCACGACGACCGTCCACTACTGTCTCCCGGAGACCATCCGCAGGGGCGTCCGTACCTGCTCCCCGTTCTCGTCTTGGTTCGGGTTCAGGAAGCGACAGTCGACCTCGTAGACCCTCACTGTTGGCCTTCGAAGGATCTGGCGTGTTTGGCGGTCTCGCTGCATCTCTGTCGATGTCCGCGCTTGAGACTGAGGATGACGTTGATGGCGACGGTACGAAGGCAGACGCTGGAGAAGGGAAGGAGAAGGATGCGCCCGTACAACGTCGAACGTCAGCGCGTTCTCGCAAAGGGTCGGGTACTGATAGGCCAAGAGTCAGGCGACCGTCGGGATCCGAAGGCATGGCTTCCCTAGGCGGTCTTGCCTCTGCCTTATCGATGTCAGCCTTGGACTCGGAGGACGAAGATGTCGTCCTGCCAAAGCCCAAATCTGCCTCCGCGGAACTTCAGTCAAGCTCTCGACCACCACCAGCGCCATCTGCATCCAGCGCCGCAGCAGGCACCATCCCAGAAGGCACTGCCATTGCCTCTCCAAATGGAACGCAACAAGCACCCTCCGCCTCCAGTCCGCCCGTACCCTCTACAACCTCCCCGGAGGCTATGGCCATAGATTCTCCCAAGTCTGGTCCTTCAACCAAAGGACCCTCTGGTGGCCTTCCACCCAGCGCCTTCCAACACCCGTCTGACCTTGCAGCTCAGCTCTATGCGAACCCGAAGCTTGCTGCTCTGCGCTCTCCTGTACCACTCGGTATGTCGCCTATTATTCCGTCTGCCCGCGACAAGGCGAGCATCAGCCCACCCATCCTCGCGAACCCAAAATGCTCTGGCTATTTCGTCGAGCCCGTAAGTCTCGTCACCCGACATGCACCCGTATTTTCTGACACTCTTCGGTTCTGAAGATGAAATGGATGGACTTCTTCCTCGAGGAAGGCCAGCTTGCGGGCAAGATCCTCTGCCCCAACAAGAAGTGCTCCGCGAAGCTGGGGAACTACGACTGGGCGGGCGTCTGCTGCAGCTGCAAGGAATGGGTCGTGCCTGTAAGTTCTCTGAAACCGACCCCTGCCGCGTTTACTAATGCAAACCAAAGGGATTCTGCATCCACCGCTCGAAGGTAGACGAGATCGTCTAGATGTTCAGGTTTCCCTTGCCCCCCCCCTGGATCAGATTGGTTAGACATGTAGGTTAGAAAAGTACTTAGAATCACGTATCGTCTGCCCTCATGCAGGAACATGTATCATCACTACGGACCTGACTCGGTCCAACACTGCCAACAGGTCCTTGTACTGATAGTCCTTTGTATCGTCACCAGTCAGGCACCAAACATATATCTTTCGTGTGATTGTTAGGTTGACCAGTCAAAGAATCACCCATGCAACAGTGAACTGAAACGCCATTCAGACTGTCCTTCTAGGGCTGTTTGTGAACGAATATTGATTACAAGCGCCGTGAAAAGGGGGGTACACGGCGCCAAACAAGGCGAACACAGCAAAACACGAAAGGAGACAAAACCCACATTCTCAAGCCCAAGGACCGAAAGAAACACAGGGATGCAACGCAAAACACGGAAAACAACAGCGAAGACCAACCGACGACGAGAGAGGAGACAAACGCAGTAAAGTGGGACAGACGGATAGACATTGGACAGTAGACAGTACACCGGAGGAAACGAAATAGCTACAATGAAGAGGAGAGATGATATAGATAGATATGGGTAACACTACGTAGGATGGGACCGATGGAGGAGGCGCGTGACACGAGAGTAGCTCAAACACTGTCCAGCTGATGGATACAATGTCCACGGTCATGATGTGTGAGACATAAAGGATACAACCGGGGGTCCACTGCCAGCGACGGCACGGCGGGCAACATTATACTGCATTCACGGTGGGAAGTGGGAGCCGCTCTTGCCGAGAGATTGGCATGGGAGGCTCATCGAAGAATGCAGGTAATGCAGTCGGCGTCGGATTCCAGGAATTTCGATGGAAGCTCGTTTTCTTCCGGACGCTGGCCTTGTATGCAGCGCGGATTGCTGCAGTTCCGGTTGGGTTCAAGCTCCCGACTGTACTCAAAGCCAGGGTGGAGAGTCGCGACGGTGTATCGGAATACTCTGAACGGAGGTCGCTGGGCGAGATTGGAGGAGAATGTGGGCTCGGCGTCGATGTACTTGCCGAAGTGCTTGTACTCGCTGTGGAAAGCGGCGGGAGAAATCCGGGAGCAGAGGCAGAAGCAGAGGACGCTGGAGCCGATGCAACAGGGCAAAGAGGTATAGTTGCCCGCACTGGGGATGGCGACGACGAGCGGGATGAAGACGGCAAAGACGTATCGGAAGAGCCTTGGGCAGAATTCCAGTCCATGGATTGACGGTCATCATGCTCTGCGCGGAGAAGGACGGGAGGAAGTGTCATGGGGAAAGCATCTCGAAAGTCTTCTGGAAATTGCGAAGGTGATGACGAGCGCTCGTCCGAAGGCCCTGACGGCGGGGTCTCAGATAAGGAGCTGACACGATGTTGCCACACTTTCAAATTGTCGGCGCATTGAGTCGCGTAAGGCTTCATTGCTGCAATGCACATCAGAAAGGGTTTAGGATTTAGAGCGGCCAAAGGAACCTACCCGGAACAGCTAACGTTGTGCGGTCGAAGAGCGGCTTTGCAAATTGCTGTATGAAGAAGACCTGTCCCTTGGCCTCTTGCAGTGGGCCATCGGATGTTTGCACCGTAGGCGGCAGCTGTAGATATCGCTCCAAGGTAGCCTGGGATGACCATTCCTCCGTGAGAGCGGCCGCCCAGTGCTGCGATACACGCAAAGGCCGGCACTACAATTGTTCAATAAGCCATGAGAGTGGTAGGCGATGGGATGAAGGGACTAACCGGATTGCTGATATCGGCACATTTAATGATAGCTTGGCAAATCAGTACCTTCTGCTTCCACAGGTCGGTCTGCTCGCCGTTCACCAGGCGTTCGAGACGAATCATGAAATCGAGGTGCACACGCATATCAGTTGCCAGGACCGTTTCCAGTAAGAGCTTGCGGAAGCTCGTTCCGTTCTTGGGGTTATCGAGAAGAAAACCCAATCCTTGCCGACGGAGGACATGGATCAACAACGTGCAGTGCATCTGCTCTAAAGCCGACTGCTCGTAGAGCGATGATAGTGGTGTCTTTGCGTTTTTCTGCAGGGATGAGTCAAGGGTTATGACGCAGTGATTATCGAGAACTTACCATGAATACGTTTGTCAAGCCAGGATGGCCGGCGTCATGGCCGATGGCGGCGACATACAAACAAAAGAGATCCAGCTCATTCAGACAGGAGACGAGAGGGTTGTCACTCCGAGTTTTATCGGGTTTCCACATCCGCCGCTTGCGCTCGAGGAGGATCGATACTGGGGGCACCCGGCCAGCAGCGCGAAGCATGGCATGCGTTGCTTGAAGCACGTCGACGGCATGCTCGAAATTGTGGTACGAATTCTGGCTGCGGTAGACTTGGCGGAGATTGCAAAGAAGATCCGAGACCTGATCTGCAAATGGCAGAAAACGTCACTGAGCAACACGAGGCAAAGCAAACGCAAGCATGACTCACTGATAGACACTTCCACGGTCTCCGACAGTCCCTCGATTCGAAAAAGTGTTTCGAACAGAATGAGTGCGCAGAAAAGGACCTCTTCATCTG